ATTTCATTCAAATACACGACTCCTAAACCTTGACCTCAAATAACAATTTTGTTTTTTAATTTATAAATTGAAAGACATATAAAAAGCTATAATACATAACATAATTAAAATACACAGACATTTATGATATGAGGGCTGTTTTAAATCTTATTTTACATATAAAGTTTAGTTTATCCAAAAATAAAATGTTGAAAAAATAGTTACCAAAGCAAATGAGGTTTTGAAAAAAATCACTGATTTGTTAGATATATTGTCGTTAACCCTAACATTTCGGCCATAAATCATATTATTCTGTGTTTAAATTCCCGGAAAAAGTATTTTTAAGACATTTTGCTAATAATTAAGATTAAGTAACGATAACTACGAATAAAAATACATTTCTTTAATCAAAAAACCCTTTTTTATTACTTTCAGAATATAATACATTACATAAAAGCCATATTTTATGTAATATTTCTCGTATAGATAATGCACTCTTAACTTATGGTTTTGATAATGTGTTTAAGTAGTAATCAGTTAATTATAATGATATGTTTTATTTAAATAAGAAAAACAAACTTTTCCTCTAATGAGACAATAGTTAAAATCATTTCAATATACTTCACTTCATAACTTACTTACAAACCATACTTTTTTCAGCTGACTTGAAGCGATAGTTAGTTAGCGATAGAGTTATCCTTAATTTATATTATATTATAAATGCATTTGTGGCTAGTCTACTGATTTATATATACACACAGTATACATGTATATATTGTCTCAATAAATATTTTCCAATATATAAATATAATTTTCTCTAAAAAAGCCTTGACTTTCGCCAACACTAGTGAATACTTGAAAACATTTTAAATAACCATTAAATTAGTTGTTATCTGATTAACAAATGAAGCGTTTGTCTAACAAATATGTGTTACACGCAATCAATCGATCGCACAGTTGTGTTATATTTTTATCAATGTTTTCAAAAATGTTTAACAAATTGTGCGATAAATATCTGTCGGAAAGTTATTTTTGTGATCAATTTAAACATTGCTTTTTATAGCAACCAATTTGTGGCAAACTTTGAATTAAGCGCTTAAACGTCGCCCGCGTTTCCCATTTGAGGTGACGTTACTTATTGTGCTTTTGTGTTGAGGAGCTATACATACATAACGTAAACATTCCCAAACACTTCTCGAACCCTAAACACAAATATGTGTCAAATGTTAGGCTTTATTACAGGCATTGGTTTATTGTTGTCATTGAGACTACCCGTGCAGTCATTTGTGTTGTACTCTATGAAAGCCATATTTTCTTTTCACTCGACAGCTGTCATAAAAAAGTGAATACCATTAGGAAAGCGCTCACAGAATTGGACCGCCAGACGCCCTCATCTGCCCTTTAGTTACAATCTGTTATAATTAGGATATAAGACAATAAAATTTATGTTACTTCTAACAAATTGCTAACAATTACAACAACATATTAAAAGACAATAGCATTTAATAATATTATGGCACAAATAATTTTATTTAAATTTTATATACTGTATTTCTAATTAAAATATACAATTAAACAATGATTCAACAAATATTCAATGATGCAACTTGTACTGATAATTATGTTAATTGATTAAAATTTACTACCAAGCTCATTAAATTACGTTTACATTAATTATTTAATAAATAATTGATTCAATTTCAAGTTATATACCTTTTAATAAAATATTGACTTTAAGTGCAATGAAATGAATAGAGAGTAAAATATTAGGCACTTTTGGCGGGCATTATATGACTAGTCGTTATGTGTTGTGAGCCCGAGTGTTGTGCACAAAGTTGTGGCATATTTTGTATTTATAAATATATTGGTAAATATAGAGTTGCTATAATAGATGTGTATATACTGTATATACATGTATATATAGTACGCAAACATATATACAATATATAGCATTATATATGAGATAAAGAATTGAATGAAGACTTGAATTAAAAGTGATTTTGAGTTGAATTTTGAATGATTTTGGAGAAGAAATAAAGGATTTGGTCTAACATTGCAGTCAACCCAACCATTGAACACATTGTCCACAACAGCACCACAACAACCAGTGATCCCATCCTCACAACAGCCGTCCAATCACTCCATTAGATCCAACACTTGAGCACAAGAGCGATGTCTTCATTGCAGTCGCAAAGTGTGTCCGAATGTATGTCTTCGTCGTCCTCGTCGTCGACCTCTTCGTCGCCGTCGATGTGTTTGGGAAGCAATGAGACGCCAAACCCATTGACGACACACCATATGATTGCCACCAATATACCAATACTTCCACTAACGAAGAGTTTGCGAACCACTTCTCGGACGACGTGTTCGCCCGGATATCCCTTCTCTCGGATGCGATTAAATGCAAATTATATTCATTCAAAAGCATTAATAATAATAGTATTGAAAGTTATAATAACCTCAACACCAATACTAGCGATGATAACAATCAACATATGATTGGCGCTCAAGAGTTGTCCAAATTGTATGCCATCCGCAGTGAATGCTATCTAACACTAGGTTTACATCAATTGGCTTTCGATGACTGCGTCAATGGTTCCCAATTGGATCCAAAGAACCCCAATCTGTATCGCCTTAAAGGTATGACAATTGAAATACTTTGTATTTTTTCAGACATTTGTTGTAATTTTATATAATCTTTGAGTTTATCTCAAATCCATTGATAAATAGATAAGAAAATTATAATTTCAATTAATAGTCATTTGTTTGCATTAAATAACGATTGAATTAATGTTTGAATTGTAATATTGGGTTATAATTAGTGCTCGTATTGTCTGTCATTTGACTTCAGGTTTTATATTTGAAACACTTTTATACATCATTTGATCTCTCATTTGATATTAAATTTAGTTTTTGAATGCAATTGAGTGTTGGGTTCGCTATAGTGTTAATGCAGTCCTTATTATTGGATATAAATGTTTATTTGTTTAACAAATTGTTTATTTCGTCGACTTTTGCGCCCATTATTAACGAAATATTTATTGACTTTTGAGTCAAATGAGGCATATATTAGAGCGTGTCTTAAGACTTAACACAAATTGCTTTCAATTATTGCACACAAATTGCATTTATTTCAAAAATATATCAAACCTTTTAGTTTTGCTTTGAATTAAATTGTGGTAATTATTGGTTGTTATAAATTTCCATAGACTTTAGTGATTGTATGATTGATATTAATGTGTGTCTGACTGTCTGTCCAACAGGTCGTGCATTACTTGGATTGAATCGCAAGGAAAGCGCTGAGCATTCGTTTCAGATGTCTATTGAATTGAGCAAAAAATATAGCCAACCGTCGGATGAGTCGGTCATAAGTAGATATAATGCCCTAAAGGAGGCGGGTTTTGATCACCAGACGGCCAATATGTTTGCCCCCAAAAGCCGTTCAGTAAACGATGCAATCGATAATATACTGAATACAAGCCTTACGTCCGGACAGTTGTCTTCTCTAAGAGATTCTTATACCCGAAGCTTAAATACTAACGATTCCGGCAATCAATTGCCGCCTCAATGTTTGGACACAACAATGTCCGCAATGTTTGGTAACATGAATGAGACGAATAACAGCGGCAACAGAGCTAACGGCGCCTCTCAAGCATTAGGCCTTAAACTGATTAGTGATATCGACAACTGTTTAGGAAGTATTCTCGACTCTGACGGCGAAAAGACCCATATTTTTGACGAAAAAAACGATAACAATATTATTAGTGCCACTAATTGTAGCGATTTTTCAAATATGAATATTAATAATAATAGTATAAACAAAAGTAATAATAATTACTGTGATATCGGAGACAATGGATATCAGTCCAGAAGTCTTTCGCCACAAACAAAGCAAAGTTTATTTGGGATCTCTTCCGATCACCAACTCATGCAAAAAGGAAATAATTTTACTATTGATCTCAACAAAGACTCGTTGGGCTCTCAGATACTGCCGAAGACTCTAAAGAATAATAACCGAAGCGCTGGAAGTGGTGGCCAATCGACACGAAAAACATTTGCTGACATCGCGTCGGCTAACGCTAAAAAATCTGTTCAGACAATGAAAACGACCGCAAAAACCAATACAATGAAAGATACGGATACTAGAGATACACCGGTCTCTCGTTCGCAAACCCCATCCGATGCCGGGACTAAACTATCGGCGCTCGAGTCGTTCGGTGCACCCAATTATGCGACCGAAAGTGTGGACAAAATTGAAAAATTTGGCGAAATAGTGGTTTTGGAACCGATTAAACCCACAAATCTAATGGCATATAAAGGCCTTTGGGTCTGCAATATATCGCCCGACGCTTCGTATATAACGTTAAAAAAGGTTTTTCGAAAATATGGAAATTTTACTGGAATTCAAACGTTTGAAAGAAAGGCCACAAACGGGTCGAACATTGTTTTCGTTCACTACGATAACAGTCAGTCGCCAACCGATGCCATCGCAGAGCTGTTTGGTGTCTACCGGAAAGACATCTGTTTTGACGAGAAGACACTTTTGAAGCTTAGATTCACTCCAAGTATGGAACAGACGAAGAACGGAGACATGCCTTCCATGGAAAAGGCCAGACGTGTGGTCGAGAAGAGTGGCGAGTGTTTCAATTGGCGTCTGAGCACCGGATGCCATAAAGGAGACCGTTGTTCATACAAACACATCCCTATTAATAAAGCGGTTGACTCTCAGCCTTGGGTTTGTCTCCCATTTTTGTTTTTTATTGTTTTGCTTTTTTTACATCAAAACTAATCAATTGATTCTTCTTTAGGTGAAAGCATTGAAAAAGAAGGCAAACGACGCTTAAAACACACTATGAATGGCTCTCTTATAATAATAAATATATTAAAATTATATTACAATTAACACAAAATGTCTTTTCTTCTGGCGATAACTTGATATAAGAAATAAAACACTTTTTTGTCCTTTACTATCAATTTTTAGTTTTTTTAGTTTAGTATTAATTCAATAAATTGTTTAATCAATTAATTTATTTTATGAAAATGTAATTTTTCGTTAATATTTTATAATTAATTGATTATACATTTCGTATTTAAATTCAATTTAAAAACATTATAATTTTATTAACACTTAAAAAGTTTTATAAAAATACAAAAAACAATTTAAATAAAAAATTGCAGCAATTATACAGTATTGTGGAGTATTTATTTGAGTGTAATTTGTATAAAGTGTTCAATTATGCAAATCTAAGTGTTTACAACTTTTGGCTCCGTTTGAAAGTCGTTTACAGTAAATATTGTGACATTTTTTTTGGTTTTAAAATTATGCAAAAATGAATTTCCAAATTGTCTACAAAGTTTGAATTTGTATTTTAAACAATAATTTTCTGTTTCAATGATTTTTATTCATTTAACACCTCAACACTTCTGTTCTCTCTCTCTCTCTCTCTCTCTCTCTCTCTCTCTTTGTCAAAATGTAGTTAACATTATATAATTTTCTGGCGTATAATCTCTAGAAAATATTTGTATAAAATTGAAATTAGTTTTAAGAAGTTTTATTTTTATACTTCGTTTGTGGCAAACATTACAAATGTTTATAATTTATATACTGTTACTATTCTTAGACTCTTTGAGAAGTAATCATAATAAATATAAATTTAGCATCTATCAAGTTATCAAGTAACTTTTAGACAATATTTGACTTAATATTAACTGCAATTTCATTTGTATTGTTAACGAATTAAACAATATGTTAAACGAAATCAGTTGTGCTTAAGACTGAGACTTTGCGATTGGGATATGAGTTTGCAATTTAATAAATTTCACGCTTTCATCGGTTTTGAGGGTTTTCTATAGAAATACATGATTAATAAAAGGACATAATGTTATGATGCGATCAAAATCATGACATTATATTTTTATTGTCTCATACGTTAAGAATCGACTAAATCTATGCGTAAACTAATGTTAGCTTTAAATAACAAATGCATTGCATTTCTCTTAGGTTATACAATGATTGCAATAAAACCTAAGTTTTCAATCGTTAAAATTTCAAAAGCAAATTTTTACATGAAATCAATTTGTATTAAGTTCTTCCCAACAACTTTATATATAATGTCAAATGTTTATACATTGTACACTAAATATTAGCAATAATTTATAAATAAGTTAAAAAGTTTGTCAGTGTCTTCCGACTTAAATCAAAGCTAAAGTGTTTGGTTCTAAGTCTGAAAAAGAGTTATTATTTACTCTTTAAAAGTTATTCTTGGGATCAAAGAAGCAAAAAGTCATTTGAAATGCCGACGACTTTTATGTGGAGCGTAAGTCATTTAGAGATGCTTTACCTTATATTTCTTGCTTAAACATATAGTTTTAATTTGGCCTTACATTTGTGAAACTGTACTCTTTTTTGCAATAATTAATTAAAATATTAATTTATAAATTGCTCTCAAAATTAGGTTCAAATCAAGGATTGCCGCAAAATATTCATACTATTGATAGCATATATTTTATATTTAATTATCGGTGCCTTTGTTTTCCAAAACTTTGAGGCGCCTCTCGAAGAGAAGATGAGATTACAAGTCGGGAAAATTATTGATTCATTCGATGGTAAGTCTATTTGATTATCAATTTAATTCATTTTGTCATTTCGTGTTAACATTGGATTATAATTTATATCGAGAAATACTGTAGTCATAATTAGTAGTGACTTTACATCTGTAATAAACATTTCCATAAAATAATTTTCACCATATGATCCTTGAAGTCTATTTTTAGTCAATTAGTTTCGTTTACATCTATTTTGGGAGCAGTGATGGAAATGTCCAATAAATCATATTAATAAAATTTTAAAATATATTGATATGCAATATTTCTAGTCAAACATTATTTAAGGTTACTGTTAGGCATTTCTCAGGGAATTCCTTTGCAATAATAACGAGTTTAAGGAATTTGTTTTGATGTGTATTCTCCTGTATATTCACTCCAACTGTTAGATCTAAATATTCAATAAATTATATTTCAATTAAATATTTCAAGAAAAACCGTAAACATTTGAATCATTGAGAGATGATTTGACAATTTTATTAATTCACACAATTTGATTAATTTTCGAGATTTCCTGTCAACAGCTTATGGTTTGCCAAATATTGCTGCCAACTATAGCTCTACTTTATATAAGTTGCCATAAGTTGTCCACTCAAACAAAGACTGAAATAGTTATAAGTTATAACTTATAAGTTATAGCATCACTTGTTTTATTTGATGAGATCTATATTTATGATAATCAATGTTAATTTGCACTAATTATACCACTAAAACACTAAATTACTAAACTGTTTATAAAATCCACGTGAATAACCAATGATAAAGATCATTGCCAATAATATTTGCGATAAAATAATGCATAAAAACAATAATATATTTAATATGAAGTCATTAAAACATGAAACTTCATATTAAAATATTGTATTAGCAAATCCTAAAATTAATTAATTATTTGTTACATAAGATAAATAATTTTTGTAATATAAAATTAGTTGTTTGATCTGATGTGATTTTAAAAGTTAAAATCATATTATATTTGCACATCTTATTAAAAATATACAGTAGTTCATAGTTTTTATTTCATTTATTGTGTAATTCTTAATGTATTTACATTTAAAATATGAAATACAAATTTTAATAATTAAGTTTTAATGACAAATGTTCTGATAATATTTACATGATAACATTTGAATGTTTAAAAAAGCAAATGTTTACAAATATCACACGTCTTATTAATTTTTGAAACTTAATAAACGCATATAAACTTTAAATTTAGTAATATATCAAACGTCATACAAATGTTAGACAATAAACAAATTAATTAAATGAAATTATTCAGCAAATTATTAAAGAAGTTTTGATATTAAAAGCAAAATTTAAAAACAAAATCATTAATTACATAATTCACGGAATTTTCCAGATAATTATAAAGTAATTATGATAAATGTAAAAGTTATAATTCAAAACTAATTAATAATATATGTTGGATTAAAATTTTAATGGAATTATAACTACAACTAAAACTATGTTAAGTTATAATTTTTAACAGTATTAATAGCCTTTTTGTATATTGAGATTCAGTTTTGAAACATAAAATCCAAACATTTTAACACAAAATGCAATAAAGGCAGAGGGGAGACAATTATTAAACCTAATAATTCATTTAATTAGACATAAAATTATAATGTAATTGCATTTCAGAAAAACTTTCGGGCGATAATATGAACGTAACGTTAAGGGAATTCAAGGATATGGTCCACAAGTATTTGGTGGCCCGGGATATGAATCTCGTCGATCAGTT